GGGGTACGGGGGAGCAGAGACCTCGAGAAGGGGGGCTGCAAATCCTAATGGAGGCCCCACGTCACCTGCAATGAGGGAACGAAACACCTGGGCCAGGCCAGGCGGGGGGCCCCGGGTGCGCGCCGTGACTAAGGGACCCTCGGGACCCCCCTCCCCCCTCCCCCCTTGATGCTCCCCGCACGCTCGCGCCTTTTAGCCCCCCGCCCCCACCCACCTTGCCATACCACAGAGAGGGAAAGAGCTGCTCTGGCTGCTGTGCTGGGTGGGGCTTACAAGCTGAACAGCACACGCTGCTGAGAGAAAGAGAGAGAGAGAATGGGGAACTCGAGGCAGCACGGCTAGGACTCGCACCACCACGAGCAGGGAGGCAAAAAAAGAGAAAATGCGGCACAAAGAGTAAAGAAAGAGGGATGAAAATCGCACTCTCCCCCCTCCCCCTTAGTCCTCCCGTCCTGGTTCTCCAGCGCTGGAGAAACGGGACGACGGCGACGACTCCAGCGTCAGGAAGGGGAGGGGGAGGGGGGCATCCGGGGCCGAAGGGGGATGCAAACTAGGGCCTTCCTCCCCCCTTCAAAAGATAACGAACGCCCCGGCATCGGCCGCACCCACGTCATCCCCCCACACCACCCCTCCCCCGGATAAAAGAACGCCAGCACCCCGAAAGCAGCTTTTGGTATAACAGATTCTAAAGATACATTACTTTTTTTGGCATGGGCAAAAGCCGGACGCCACTTGAGCTTCCCACGTGTAGGCCATGCACCCCCCCCCTCCTCCCCAAATCACTGACCCGCTGTAAACACTCGAGAGAGGGACCACCAAGGGGGAAGCCCCAACTGGGCCGTATCAAACTGGCGGGCCATGTTGCACACACTCGTCTTACACTGGAAGAAGGGCGACACAAACTACAATAAGGTGCGCATGATTTATTTTTTTTCGTTCTCTTTTTCAGGAACTCCTTTCAAATTTTGGGTGCTGAAGATATATTTGGAATGACCACCCAAACGGCCAATGTGCTCTAGTCTAACGGTCTACCCATCCATCAACCCCCCAAAATAACGATTAAGTTACCTTCTTGCACGTTGCAAGCACACTTGCAAGCACACTGCAAGTCGCACCAGTCGCACTTACCATGAGAGAGGCAGCCTTGCAGGCCGCTCGCCGCCGCCGCCGGGCCGCATGGTGACGGAGCGCCGCCCCGCCCCGCGCGCCGCCCCGCCACGCCGCTCCTCGCCGCTACCACATGGACCTGCGACAGAAGAGACGCAGCGTTACACAGAGATCCCTACGCGTCCCGGCAGACGGAAGGGAAGAAGTAGTATTAGTAGTAGAACCCGCGCCCAGACATACCGACCGACCCACCCGGCCAAACCAACCCGTGGCGCTCAGGAGGGAAGAATAGCATTGTGAGTCACGGTCCTCCAGCTCCTGGCGCTGCGCTCGCTCCGGGACCTACATTGTGTGGAGCTTGAGGGAACGGGGGAGACGCCCCACCCCACAGACAGGGGCTCGGCAAGGCGCAGCCGGCTGGCAATGCGCGTGTGTGAGTGAGGTGTGTGTGTGTGTGTGCGCGCGCGCGTGTGAGTGAGAGGTGAGTGTGTGCGTGTGTGCACACCATCGTCTCATTGCCCGCACACCACAGGCGCTACGTGCGCCACCCCTTCAAGAGCCCCACGGTGGTGACACATGGCACGGCGCCCGGGTCGCACGGGGATGGCAAACACAGAGACAGACAGACGGCGTGGAGGCAGCTCGGCAAACCCATGAGAAGTTATTCGCGAACGGAACCAAAAACAAGCGCAAAAGACTTCCTACTTCCTCACGGTTAGTTGTAGAAGTTTTTTTGGAAAATGTTGTATGACATCTTTCAATATTTATCATCATTCAAAGTTGCACTCTCGATAAAATTGATATGGAGTGCGTGCATTGCCAAACCCGGCGGCGTATACTACAGGCACAGCAGGCTGCGGCGGCGCACACAGGAACCGGGATGGAACTCCGGTAAATCAATCCGACGTGGCCCAGCTCAGCCGGCCCGACTCTCCAGTGCCCCCCCCCCCCCCACAAACCCATTCGTTGCGCCCTGGCTGGCCCCGGCAGCAGGGCCCTCCTCCTCTTGGTGAAGCTCCGCGCCGGCCAAATCTGTGCCTCCGGACCGGCCCACCCGCGCCACGTAAAAAGAAAGGGGTGAACGACTGGAGAAAAAAAAGGAAAAGAAAAAGAGTAAAACAGAATAGAGGAAGCAGAGCAGGGGGACAGGTGGCGTGCCAAAACTGGGCTGGGATGGGCTGGGCTGGGCAGGCGGGGGCGGAGCCTACGGCGGCCAGTGATTCGTAGATACCTCGTGACGCATCATAAAAAAACCGTGTGTTTCTGTGAATGCGCTCCGCTCCAGTGCTGCGGGATTGCAAACTTACATCTTAATGGAAAAAACAAAGAGGTGCCATAATATCGGCAATTTTAGAGCCTTTACAGAGACATTAGTGCAGTAGCACCCTATTCACAGGTGTTCTAAAGCAACTTTGCTCTTTCAGTGTGGAAGTGGATTGAGTTCGAATTTTAATAAATACTCTTGATTTAGAAATTTGAAGTAATCGGTAATTTTTATTCGTTAGATCAGAATACAGTGGCAGCTCTAAATTTTTTGAGGTGGATTTTGATATAATTTACCACTGTAAAAAATGTACAAAATTGTGCTGGATTTCGTAGATAAATCAGTAGATCCGTGGCACGAAGGTCTCTCTACATCGTGATCCGTGTATGATGACATCTACATTACCCATTTGAAGAAAATAATTAAGGTTTTTCATTGGATTAATTCTGAAGTGCGAGGGGGCAATAACTCCCTTTTGATGTGTACACATGATTCCCGAAATCCTTGATTCCCGGTGATTCCCGGTGATTCCCGTCCACTAATGTTCATTTCTTAGGTTTTCTAGTGGTGGAAAACGCTTAATTCGACTAATTTCAACGAGTTCAACTAAAGTCCCGCTTATTTAAAGCGATTTCTGTTGATTTGGAGTAAATTTTATCCTGATGATTCCCAGGCAGATGTACACATGATTCCCGGAGTTATTGCCCCCTCGCTGAAGTGCGAACAAACATGCGAACGTTGAGAAAATTTCTCGTGACACACGTTACACTAAAAAGGCTTTTCTCCCGTGTGAGTTCGAAGATGTGTCTTCAAGACTCTACTAGTCGAAAATTTCTTGTGACACACAGTGCAATCGAAAGGCTTCTCTCCCGTGTGAATTCGACAATGTCCCCGCAAAGAACTAGGGTTTGAAAAATGTTTGTGGCACACTGAACACTCATAAGGTTTGTCTCCAGTGTGAATGTTGAGATGCACCTTTAGACTTGTCGGCTGCGAAAATCTCTTGTTGCATACAGTGCACTCAAAAGGCTTTTCTCCCGAGTGAATTCTTAAGTGTGAACGCAGATTTGAACCTTGAGCAAATTTCTTGTGACATACGGTACACTCAAAAGGCTTTTCTCCAGTGTGAGTTCGAAGATGCGTCTTCAAGTTACTACTGCTGGAATATTTCTTGTGACACACAGTACACTCAAAAGGCTTCTCCCCCGTGTGAATTCGGAAATGTTTCCGCAAATCACCAGTGTCAACGAAATGTTTGTGGCACACTGTACACTCATGAGGCTTGTCTCCAGAGTGCATTCTAAGATGCGCGCGCAGTCCATTGCTGTACGCGAATGTCTTGCTGCACACGGCGCACTCATAAGGCTTCTCTCCCGTGTGCGTTTTCATATGATAACTGAGACTGATATGGTATCCAAACTTCTTCTTGCACAAAGAGCATTCATACGGTTTCGCTCTTGTGTGGACTCTAAGATGTTCTCGCAAAGAGGAACTTGAAGAACATTTCTTGAGGCACTCAGTGCACTCGAAAGGTCTTTCCTTCGTGTGGGTCCTGAGATGAGAACTCAATTGGTGAGAGTGTGAAAATTTCTTGACACACAGCGGGCACTGAAACGGCTTTTCTCCCGTGTGAGTCCTGAGATGTGATTTCAGATGAACACTTTCTGAAAACCTTTTATTACACACCGTGCACTCGTAAGGTTTTTCTCCCGAATGAAGCTGGAGATGCTTCTGCATATTTCCCTTTTGAGTAAACTTCTTTTGGCACACTGGGCACTCGAAGGGTTTCTCTCCGGTGTGTGTTAGTAGATGTCTTTCCAGATCGGATGTCTTCGGAAACTTTTTATTGCAGACCGTACACTCGTAAGGTTTTTCGGGTTTCTCTTCCATGTTGCGGCTACGTAGAATACGTCTCCCGAGGCAAGCTTTGCACTGGATAGGCTTGGCTATCGGAGATGTCTAAAAATAGGCGCGTGTAGCTTCTGAAAACAAAACAAAAACAAAGTTGACAATTTAATAAGGTCAAAACAAATTGTCACCATTTCGCTTTAAGAAAATCGTCGAGCTGGTCAGCAGACCTGGTTGAGGGAGTGAGAGAAAACAAAGACATTTAATAAGAGGCACTCAATAGCCCCAACCCTAAGGCACGCCAGGCTCAAAGGGGATGGAAATAAACCTGGAGGGCAGTG